TTGTCTACCACTTGGAAAAATTTTCGATTGTGGCGCAAACGAGAAGATGGTTCCGGCAGCAAACAGGATCTATATAAAAAAGCGAATTATAATTTTAACTTGACGTTGAAAGTCGGCAAAAAAATGACCGCTAGCGTCACCCAACATCGATGTGGTCAATCTAATGCATGGTAGGTAGCTTGGTAGGACAAGAAATCCTCGCAGGTTAAACTTGTATGACTGTACCATGTATAACTTGTAAGATGTATAATTTGCAATTGTATTTTACGCACTGCAGACAGCTTCACGTTTCGCCAAAGATTTTTTTTTTCTTCCCTCCCACTCGTTCAAGGGGGCACCCGGTGGCGCTGCCGTCGGTGTGTTCGCCTACCTGCCTGCAAACAGCGGAGAAACACGAGTACGGCATTCGCCGCCGCTCATAATAACAACAAAAAAGTGTGTGCATGCCTTAAAGGGGCCCTGCAAGACTTTTTGAGCATGGTCAGAAAACGCTGCCGTTCGGTAGCAGAGGCTTCCGAGAACACGCGAGCCAAATCTTATAGCGCAGCCTGGAATTCGCAATAAATTATCAAAGTCGGTTATAAATTGCTTTCTTTTTTCTCGAAAAATCATGGAATATGCCCAAAATCAAACGTAGACGACCCATCTATCAGCCACTGGCTGACTTGAACATGGCACGCTCGGGTGTTACATAATTCACCGCGAGAGGTTGTCACTTGTCCACGCGCGCGCGCGCGATCGCACTGAAAAAGCCGCGTATTCGATGAAAAAAAAGTTATCAAGGTCACGAAGCGAGTCTGGCGTTCTTGTTTGCCCTTCCCATCCCTCCCTGCTTAGCTTCCAGCGCTTTCGTCGGAACGAGAGAAGAAAGAATGCGATTGCAGCGTGTGACAAATATTTGTAACTCCACTCGTACTGGACAGATTGTTAAAATTTGGCGGCGTTGAATTTGTGAGGCTATACGCTTTTCAAGTGAATTCCATGGTTACTCAAAAAGGTGTTTCAGGGCCCCTTTAAATGACCACCAAGACATTTGTTTTATTAATAGACAAAAATTCATGAAGCTTGCGATAACCGCACGCGGTTTCAGTTTTCTACTTTCACGGACGTACAACTATCATCGCCTCCACCAAACAGTGTTGTGCGCATTCATCTTACCAATGGAAGAAGACCGAACGCAGATATAAAATTTGTTTTAAAATTTTACGTACACTTTCCAAAGAAACCAATGCAGGGTTAGACACTTCAGATGGTACGCTTTTCATTGCGACAAAATACAGTAAAGCAGTGAAGTACGGTAGTCAGTCCCTCTAAAAATGAAGGCGGGACAATTGCTATCACACGCGTATACGACTGCCGAAAGGTATGGCGATGTGGAATCTTCACGACGTCCTGCATCACGATAGTTATAGACGAGAACACGACGACACAGAGACAAGAAGGACACGAGCGCTCGTGTCCTTCGTGTCCTGCTTGTCTCTGTGTCGTCGTTTAGTTCTCGCGCTATAACTATCGTCATGCCACACCAACTAGCCCAAGCTGCCACACTTCCTGCATCACTTCGGTGCTGGGAACATACGCTCCTGCCGCCACACGTGCGTCACAACAGTTGCAGCGTCACTGAATCGAGCAATTTAAACGACGGTATTTCTCATGGTTTTCCATTCATCGCTACATTTGTTACTGCCACAGAGCAGCCTCAGGAGAAAATTGGCGAAGTCACACTTTGTACCGAAGCTGCAGATGCGACGTAAAAATTAAAAAAAAACGTTAAGTTACAGCTTTCACTTGATAATGCCGAATATTAATACCAATTATCAATATTATTCTGTAACCGAATTTTCTCGCGCGAGTGCGCTAAGTTTCATCTTTTGTTTCTTTTTTTTTACCGACAGTTAATGTCAGCAGAGCGGTGCTTTTTAAGGCGCTTTAAGCAAGAGTAAATCACCATTTTAGAAATAAATATACACTTGTTACAACACTGGGTAATGACTGAGTTTTCATTTTTTTTTCAACAACTTTTTTTTACGCGAGACTGAAGAAGCACACACACAAACACAAACGAGAGAGAGAGAAACCAATCTCAGCTGTCCAACTTCACAAGTCACGTGTCACTTTATTCTTACAATATACAAGTCTTAAAAAGGAAAAAAAAATGTCGCTATACATCACATAACGCGCCAATTTCATTGCAGCGCGCGCAGGTATATTTTTTTCTTATTATGTATAATATATATATATATACTTCATATGTGTATATAGAATATGTATAAGTAGAACATCGTACACGTCGAGTAGCAACCACGTCGCCTTGTCTTTGAAACATGGATGGGGCAAAGATTTAAAAAAAAAATTAACGCCGTGGGCGCCAACGGATGACTAGGGGTGGCCGCAGATATTCCGTGAACGCCGCATGTGAAGTCTATGGCGTATAAACATTTCTTTCACAGTGAAGTTGGCGCACGGGGCTTCTATGCGAGACGGCCCCGAGCGTCCTAACAAACCCAGCCCGCGGATGTATATACAAAGCCCGCCAAACTGGAATGGGAGGGAACGTTCTTTTCTCGACAAAACAACGCCACGTCGTTTGTTCGTCACGGGTATATAAAACCGGCGCGGCCTATTTAGTACAATCGCAATTCAGACTAACTCGAACACCCTCTGAATGTTCGAACACTACCTGTTATAGTTTGTGCAAAGGAAACAAGAGACCCCATTTCTTCGACGAGCGATAAAGCTGTACACCTATGAAGTCACCTAAACCAGTCACACGGACTTCGCTGCAAGTACGCTTTCGACAAGCTTTCAGTCGCAGATGGCGCTGTTAGACAGGCGAGGTACCTACGCGACAAAGAAGTATTTTTTTTTTTTTTTGTTTACCAACGTTCGCGAATAACCTCGATCGAAAATTGTGGCTACGGCTCGCGTGGAAAATGGACCCAAACTCCTCGGGACAAGTCATTCTTGATATTCCCGTCGGTCGAGTCATCGATTCGAAAGAGAGACACGATGACCGCAGGGTGGCGTCACCAGTTCGCGACGCGTTATTGCGAAGACTGCTCGTATAACGGAGATTAGAGACGCGGTGCTGCACAGAGGTGGCTTTGTGCCATATTTGCGAGTTAAGCCTAAGTGATGAACCGACGGTTGAGCTAAAGTGCAGGCCCGCTTATGTACTGAAGTGACTGACCAAAACTGTACGGTTCCACTTGCCACATCAGCTCGCATGATGTGTGGTTCTTTGAACGCATTACAAAAAAAAAAAAACGGGAAGTTTTATCCAAAGCAGCCCTTGGCGAGACTGTTTTCACGTTACACTGGCATGCCCCAAAAAAGTTCAGAAAGCCGCAGCGAGGGCAACAGACCCCCCCCCCCCCTTTCCCCCGCCCCAGTATACAGAAACGACATTTGCTGTTCACACAAAGTCCCCGCCTTTTATCGAAAAGAATTCGGTAAAATGGCTCGTATACAAACTTCTTTCGCCCGATACACGAATTCGAGCTGGAACGCAGAGCGCCTCTATTTGAAGAAAACGCGGTTGTCGCGGAGGCCTGGGTCTGACAATTAGGCTTAAAAAGACTACGCACCTCCACGGACACGAAAGAACACCGACGGCAATGTAAAGCTAGCTGCAACTTGGCACTGTTCTCGCGAGCACCAGTCTTTTCTCCATAGTATACCACGAGCACGCCAGTCAGGCTCTGCTACGAAAACACCAGCACGTTTTACGCACAATGCAGAAAAAAGTGTTCCAACTTGATTAGTACAGAGCTTAACCGTCAGTGCAACCCGCTTACAGTAGTCCACCGCATAAATGCCACGACTGGAGCACCAACAGTATGCTGCACGCAAATTAAAAACGAACGAGGACTGCGCGGCACCAGGCGGCGTTGCAGGTGCTTCCACAAAGCGACCGTTTGGAGCGTCTCACCTCCGCTAGGGGGCAGCTCGGCGCCATATTTGAGCTCGGGCGCCTTCACCGACGACACAGCACTAATAGAGGTTTTTAGCAGGTTAAGGAGACATGTTACGAAAATGCGGCAATACGGAACCGGCCGACGAGTGCGCATGCGCGAACATTGCCAGTACACGTACACGCTGATACGAAAAGTAACGGTGCCGTATTTTCGTGACGCACTTCCGTACCAGGCTAAAAACTTGCAATGTCTAAAGACGAAAAAAGAAACACGGCCCCTGCGCTTCGGATACACAACCTGCTTTAGAAAATACATCACAGATTCGCTGAAACACGAGACAGAAGAGCATCGCCTATTCGAGCTAAAAGCCTACATAAGCGCTTTCACGTATCTGGCGGGCCACTACTCAACGGAGACCTCCTTAGTATTAAGCAAGGCTGCGAGCTGTATTTGGACCGACAGATATCTTGCGGCAGTGTATGCTAAAATTCTTTCGTTTTTAGCCACACTACAATCCCAGAACGCTAATATCGGCGTGCCTACGTCAGAGAGTACTATGCTAAATTTAATTCCCCGCGTATAACGCTTGCAGTTGTCCGAAAAAGCACTCCCAGGTACACGGGAGAAGCGAGACGCTGGACTAAACGATCGCAAAATCGCGCATCAATTTTTAACAATATAAGATAAACTGATCAATTTTCTTGAGACTGTGTGAAATACAAGATTTCGGTGAGACTATTGGTAAAAATGTAGCAAACATTATTGTATGAAGAAATCGGAAGTAGTTCTTTCACACTGGCCATCTGCAGCACATGCTGTGAAGTAAATGAATCGGGGCAGCATTGATCAGGGGAGACAAACTAGACGTTTCCTCCTAAATAAGTGCGATTTGGAGGGCGAGGCTAGAGTAAAATTATTTTCTCTCACTCCGACTTTCACCGCATTTTTTCAACGATCACGTCGCTTACCCTTGTTGCAAGTGAGAGTGCTCTACGCAGACCACAAAAGCTGCAGCATATTTAGGTTGTATACATTTGACAGGTCCCTTATAGTGAGCCGCTGCCGTTCCAGCAGCTGTTTTTCAGAAAGTCCAAGTCATCACCACCCAAGTGATCGCGCGCGTTCCAGTTACATTAAATACGCAAAAATTGGCAGGTGATTTCTCCTCCACCAACAAAGTCCCGCAAGTTTCATGTCGCCGAAATTCGTAGCCACCATGGCGTATAGCCCGATGACACGACCCCCAGCTAAGCTGCCATGCACTTTTTTCCAAACTCCTGTCTTAGCCTCTCGGCCCTACACTTCGTACCGAAAGCAGAACGTAGTCCACAAACCGGCGGTGCCCCTACAAAGATGGCGTTACGGCGGCGGCCCGTACACTGAAGGCGTTCGCAGCCAGGGAACCGCCGTTCCACGCCTACACACAAACCACGCCGGATGGGTTCCAAGGCCGAACAAGGAGACCCAGCCACACCAACTCTTGTCATACTCAGCGCCTAGGAACAAAAACCGATCACTAAATCTTCACACAGACGGCCGTCGTGCCTCGATGTCGGGGCAACTGAAACACAAACTGGAAATCCATCACCGGTGTGAGGGTGGTTGAAGAATCCCCCCATTTCCAGCTGAGTCGTCGTCAATGGCTCTACGAAGCACACCACGGCCGTTAGTCCACCCGTCCACGTAAGGGCAGATCACGTGACTGACAAGACGGCGTTTCAATCCGGGGCTCTCGTTTCGTCACCAGCGGCCTGGCTGCGACCACGCAGAAGAGGACCTCGTCTTCACCTTTTGTTCGACGGAAAACGCTGGCGCCCGAAGTAAAGTGCGGCGGCGTGGGGACAAGACGACGCGGCCGCGAAACTCGACGCTCGCGTCGACATCGATGGAGAAGCGATGACGTGTGACTGCAGCGTCCGGTTTGAGGTTCTGTTTCCAGCTCAGAACCTCGTCGACAATTGTCATGTCCGGTGGGAGTTCGTCGGCGGTAGCCGCTGGCACGACGACTTGTCCTGGTGGCCGCCCACCGTGCCGTTGCCGCTCTGACCGCGCAGCGCGAGCTGGTAGGCCACCTCGAACGCCTGGCCCAGCGTCAGAATGATCTCCGTGGCCAGCTCCTGCGAACGAATGCACAAGGGTAGTTGAACGTCAACGCAGGGAAAATATACGCGTTACCTCCGAGTATATACCACGTAAGAAGAGTCGCTGGTGCAAAAAAAAAAAAAAATGTTGCTGAAGATACACAGGTGAACGCTGGGGAAGGGGCGAAACAGTGTGCATCGGATCGTGAATCGTAGCCTTCTATATTGTTCTGGTTAACCGCCTTTTATTTTGTTCTTGTTTACCTTTTTTCTATCACATGCTTTGATTTAAGGGTGGTTAAATGGCATTGTTTGCAGGGTGTCTCGACTTTTTATTTATTTATTTTACCATACGCTGACTATATGTACGCTCTGTGAATAGTATTCCGCACGGATGTGCCACACCTGCGCTTCAACGAGGTACTGCAAAGAGCCTCGACAACAACTCTTTTCGTGTTAAGGTGCTTCACCCCTGATACACACGACCAGTCGTGTCGTGTGTGCACATTTTCTTGTCTTTCGCGCTGGTGAAGTGCGCTGATACTACTGCTTCCAATATGCCATGAGGGGATGCGTTATCTCGTTCACTTCTTCAAAACTTATCAGCAAGACGAAAGGACATGACAAATTTGGAACCTGCGCATTCGTTATCTTTTTTTTTTCTTACTGCGTAAGCAACGTTGACCCCCCCCCCCCCCCCTTCCTTTTTTTTTTCTTTCCTGAATCAATGCGCTATTAAACGCTTATCCGCACGCATATATTTGTAGGCACAGCAACAAACGAAAAACTGTTCCATTCACGCCTCTCCAGATATAGATGGAATTTCTTATCTTAGGCAGCGATCTACGACGGCAGCCTTTCCAACGACGCCAATGACCGCCATCCACAGTCGCATCGCTAGCGCGGGCTCCTTTCGTACCAAACGAGCTGGCAAACGACCGGAACATTTGCTCCCCCACACGCATGCGAGGGGGCAAAAAAAAAAAGCTGTATAAAAAAAAGAGCACCTCGGTCAAAATAATAAAAAAAGACATCGCGGGGTCGCGGGGGAAAAAAAATCTGACGGTACGGCGCTCTCCCTATCAACCAGTTTCCATAGTTGCCTCAACATCCCGCAGAGAGCGCCACCGGTCCCACTCGCGACGAGAACTGGCGACTGCTTAGCGACCCGAGTTTCGATTCGAAGTCTCCGAAGCGCATGGATGGATCAGACGTCGAAGGGAGAGCTGCCGAGGCGCACAGAAAGGCCGCTGGACCGTAAATCCAACACTTCTTCCATCTTCATTTTTGTTTTTAAATGCGAAGCATTGCTGTCCACCCACCCACCCGTCCGTCCGTCTGATTTAGCTCTCCTGGCCGTTTCGATAATGGTATCTATACCAAAATTGGTATGGCATAACATAAGTGTATGACGCGCATTAGTGACTAGTTATAACATAAACATCGCGGCATCTATGTCATAAATATCATGATTTATGTTTCATGGTCTTGCTGCCCTTGTGGTGGTTTCGTTCACGTGACATTGCAAAAGTGGTATGGTATGACATGACTGCATGGCGAACATAAGTGACAGGCCCTAATGTGGAAATCATGACATGCATGATATGTAAGCCACGACTACGCGCCATGGTACTCTCGCGATCGTTTCGCTAGCTTCACATATGCCAACTTTGGTATTACGGGACGTGAACGGATGACGAAGGTATATGACACGTCCAAACATGATAATCATGATATGCGTGTCATGTAAAACACGAGTACATGCTATGCTCGTAGCGCGCTCGCGGCCGTATCACTTGACGTGAATAGACGACGAAGGTAAATGACAACATGATAATCATGACATGTGTGTCATGTACAGCATAATTTACGTCTGCCTTGTAAGGTTGTGCCGATTTTAAAGTGACATATGACCCTTCCTCATTCTTACTTTGCATGTTACGGATTCCCACATTACGTCAGATCTGCCTTTTTTTTTTCTTTATTTTTTATTGTCTCCTCAGGGCGCAAAATGGAGTTGTGCAGAAAATACAGTAACTAGTTCTAAAATGAGACAATAAAGACGATATCATTGTCCTAATTAAAATATTACTGACCTGACATGAACAAGTAACTGTTAAGGGCAGAGCTCTCCCTGCATGATGAAAATTGCATAATCATAAACGACCAGTAGAGGCCCTGCCACAGCTATGCAAGAATTTCAGAATTTCAGGGGATGTTAGTGATGCATACACAACTTACCCTTGTCCCAGAATATTGACCCCTAAATTTTGCGTTATACTTCGCACACACTGCAGCAGTGTCTGGAAAAGATGTGCACTTAAAGACTTCCTGCAGTTTGTGCAATAAAAGAAAAATGCCAACAAAAGTTGGACCCAAAAACTTTGAGACGGTGCTTTGGCTTTTATTCCACTATGTCTGTCCCTAATCAGAAGAGATTCTGTCAGACTCTTGTCTACAGAATAACTACAGTGTGTATTACGACTACAACCTGTCAGCGTAACTTCGCATTATGTCCCTTTTTTGAAGTGAATATTATCCAAAAAAATAAACTGAGCTTTCCAAACGAGATCTCCAGTCATTGTTAGAAAATTTGTAAGAATCGAGTTAAAAAGCGGGAATTTTGACGACGTAAAGAGGGCATACACGCAAAATATAACAATACAAATGAAACAAAACATATAACATGCATGTTAAACGCATCCAACGTCGCGCTTGCACGTCCGACACTCACCATTGTCTGAGCGCAGAAGACGTGACAGTAATGATGGTTTGTTTGGTGCTCTTTCGTGATGTAGGCGAAGTGAGTCAGGTCCTCAGCATCTTGGCAGGCACAGTGGATATTTCGAATCTCGTGTTCACACACAGGGCGCTGCCAAACAGACAACAATGCACAAGTAAGTCGTGGCTCCATCATTCAAAAACCTAAATTCAGTGACACTGCTCTGCACAGGAGCTAATCCGCTCTCACCTTTGTGACAGCATCAACAAACTTGACTCCACGGTGTGACACCGACAGCAGCACACAGGGCACTTTGCCCATCTTGCGCGTCGATGTCTTGAGCTTGTGGATTGATTGCCGCGTCGATTCTGTCCCCTGCAGCTCCTTCACAAGGGTCGAGCCAAGGTACTGCAAAGTAAATGCGTGCCAGCATTGATACCCAAGAACCGTACAATTTGGTTGAAATTTATGATTAAGTACCGATCATGAAGAGCTTAAATATTGATGTGAAGTATTGTGGCATGTTTTGCATGGGTAAAGCAAAGTGAGAGATTTCAATTGGCAACACAACAACCATGTTCCTTAAGAAAACTTTCCTGTCTTGTTCATTTGGTAATACCTAGAAAGAATTAAGAATATTAATGCAGACTACTGTTAGCCCCTAATATTTTAAGTTGAAGCTATTGGTTACTTGCTTACTTTATTCACTCAAGAGGCTTAAAGAGTGAAGAACTGAAGACCATTCAGTTATATAAGGCTGAAGCAACAGAATACAAAAATAAAACATGTAGTTAATCTATGCTTTTGTAAATTCATGCTGCCTAGCAAGACTGTCCATTCAAGCAGTCCCTCCACAGCAGTGAGAAAGGGTTTAAGTCTTGAAAAGAACAATTACAGCAATCAAAAGAAATTACAGATAGACCTGAGAATTGGGCACGAAAGAAAATTGAGGGCCTAATGTAGTGATGAGTTGGGTATGCACAAGTAAATTTATAGTGCTAAAATTGATTACAATAGTCACTGACCTCCTTTCTCCAATATGAATTTTCATAAATGACAAAGCACACCATCTCATGCAGAGGCATCATTCTCAAATGCTCAGTTTTAAAAAATCTGACAGGACTCATCTACAGGCACATCAATGTTTTTAGGCGACAGCATTTGACACTGCGCCAAAACACTGCTGAATGCAAAAGGCACCTTTGCATAAATACACTGAGACGTCTAGCAGCTAATCATTCGAAGTTTTGCAAAAATCACTGTAGGCCAAAGAGTAGTAAGAAAAGCAAATAAATGATAAGCAAATCCTCCTAATTCTCATTTCGAGAGCCCCTTAACCTAACAAGAAAAAGTTTCTTACATGTGCAGTGTATTCACAGGAGCCATTGATGAGAAGTTCTGGGTCGTGCCTCCACTGGGCAGCTGCCGTACTGGCAGTGCTATGCGATGCAGGAGATCGACCGGGATCACTCATCAGCTGCGTTGGTGGCCGAATTCGAAGACTACTTGGCGCCAGCCTGTCATCGTCTTCAACCCCAAGCTCCCGAAGGCCCATGTTCTGCACATAGATTATCAATGCACCGATTCGCCTCATGTGGCATCAAATGCAACTAGCAGTATGGTGAACGGCAAGATAAAAAAAATGTGACACCATGCTGCAAAGATTCTCTCCTGGAAAGTGAAATATTATCATCACATAGACACTGCAGTGCAATGACAAAATTGCGAAATGAAAATCTCAATGAAATCAATTTTGTTTAAAAGTAATAATAAACCTGTTTCAGCAAACTAAATGAAAGAAAACTCGAATGTTCTACCCTTGTGCAGTGCCAAAAACAGTGAAAGAAAATGTGCTTAGAGGTACCCGGAAAACAAGCTAAACAGTAAGTACTAAAGACCGTTTTTGGAGCTTCTTCATCAACTACATGCACTTAATTACAATAAGCTGTTAAGTCACACCAAGAAACTGTCTAAGCAAACAAAATTAACAGAATATAGACATAGTAGCTCGAGGGTAACAAATGATATAATAAGGTTAGACAATTGCCATGTTATTAAGGTGTTGAGTTCAGCCAGCCAATCAGTACATGTCCAAAGTAATTTCGAGAAGCTCAGTAGTTTCAGAGCCATGCACACATACAGAGCTAGGTTTTAGCACTGTATTGATATCGCTGTACTTGAGCACTGTTTCCTATAGGTCGCCTCATTTCTATCATGGTAAAAACTTTCTACCTTGAATGAACCAAAATACAACTGTAATCCCAATTGGTTCCAGTTGTGCATTGGGCTATTACAAATGGTCATATAACATTTCCACACTGTTGAAGTGCCTTTATAAGTACTGAACATGACCACAAAAGCCACTTCAAAGATTTCAGTGGCACACTGTATTATAGTTCTGTCTTGACTCGCTAAAATTAAAAACTGTTGCGAAAACTAACAACACTGTCTGAGTAATGCGTTTTGGTTTAAGAAACTTTCTAAATTAACTAAAAAAAACTGCAACACTCACCAATTTAGAAAGACCGAGGTCCAGCTCATCGAGGTCAGCATAGCTATTGTTTGCCCGTTCACCCAAGGACGCGAGTATTCGTTTCTGGTGTCCCAGTTTGCCTAATTTCTAAAACAGTGTTCAGTTCGAGTTCCCAAATCTGCCGGCAGCGGTCAAGAGAGCCAAGCCCATTGTCCCGGAACCGTTGTGCATAGCAGCCAAGACCAATGGAGTCTAGCCAGGCGTCCAAACCCGGATCTGATCCGGGCTCTAATCGAGGAACTGGGGGAAGCTTCTGTGCCGCAGACTCTACCATAAGCCGCCGGTGCTCAGCATTGGACACTCCCATGTCGAGAAGGTCTTGGTCTTCGACAAGTCCACCTCCCTGAAGGCATGTAAAGGTAGTATGCATTTATTCCCCTACTTTAAAAGATCAGGAAGAGTACAATAAGCACACAAGATGTACAGTAAATCTCAGGTAACAAAGGCACACCCGAATCCAGTGCTATCTCAGCTCTGGTACAGCTCAATTATTAACACCAAAATATGTTTTCATTCTATTGAGATGTGCATAAACAGGTAGCAGTATTAAGGTTACATAATCATATTTACTAGTGACAAACTAGACAAAGGCAGTTCATAGAAAGAAAGGATGTGCAGATTCATTTTCCAGTAAAAAACCGTGCAGAATCATATCACGAGTAAACTGCAGCAAGAAGCCATGTAGTAAGCTTTACTGACACTACAACAGTGCTGAAAATGATGAACTTCCCCTGAATAAAAAGTTGCTCACCAGAAACCGAACGTCATCGTATCCATTCACCAGAAGCAAGTTGGCATACTCTGGAAGACCGAGGTCTTGGAGCCAGTGCTCGATGTTTTCAGGACATGAAGACGTAGACCCATTCGTTTCTAAGAGTGAGGAATGGAAAACATCTTTGTGGAGGTTGGCCACCCAGGCATTGTAGTGCAACTGCCAATACAGACATGATCAAAAGCATGCGAAGAATATATTTGCACCTCCCCCGTTCAAACTTTTTTGCCTACCACGGCTTTAAAGGGGCCGTTTTGAATAGCACGAGAGAAACCCTCGACTATGATCAAACTAGAAAGCACGGCGGTTTCTCAAAGGGATTCACTATAGTGTGCATAAACATGCAGCAACATATTCATAGCAAAGTCTCATCTGTAGTGTTCAGTTTCAGTTCACAGCCTAAGGCAGTGAGCAAACTTCTTTCCTACCCATTATTTAGATCCCAGGCCTATGCCATTGCAGTAAAGGATCATTCCAACAAACACTTGCCTGATTTCTTCTTGTGCTGCCTTGTAAGTGTGCGGGCAAACTCCTCCTCTAGGTCTCTGGCAAAAATGGATTCCCTCGCAATGCCACTTCCAAATGATGCCATGATGTCTGCAATTTCTGCCCACTCTGCGTTCTCGTCAAAGGGGCTTGCGGTGTGCTCTTGTTGCCTCCGCGTCTCTTCCGCTGGTTCACCATCTTTCTGCGGTGTCTGAAACAAGATTAGATATGACTTGAACTGGTGGCAGTTTGAATGAAATACAGAGGTTTAGGATGGAAGCAATCAAAATGAAAGCCTATGGAAGTTCGTAACAGTGCCATTAATGAACGTACAAACAGGATCCTGGGAGATAACCTTCAGTTACTGCAACCTGACTGCAGTAACCAAAGCTTACTGGATCTAAATGAAGGTTTCCATGCCATCTCAAGGTGACTGTGCCTTCAGATGGCATAAAAAATCACTCTGAAGACCATTTATCATGCATGCAATCTTTATTGTGTTAGCTCAGCAGTGGTACCAAGTTCGATCTAAGCATTGAACACACAGAGATTGTTATCCCTTTCAGATTGCTTTGGGCAGCATGTAAATCCCCTGCACAATACAATTACGAAGCTTGCCATAGTGGGGGCTTCTGCGTTAACCTTTGACGTCTCATTTTCAATCCTTAGCATGAAATCAAACGAAGTTACATACATGGTCATATCGAAGTCTATTAGACCACATGTGCTGTAAGGCTAAGCAGCACAGTGGACTTACTGCAGTGATGTCTAACTGGAGGCCCACGCTTGCGTGGTGGCGGTGCCGGCTTGGGGCCTGGCCGAGGTCGTCCAGGCTCGGTCGCAGCCGGGGCTGTTGACTGGGGTTCGTCCGTCTTGCTGGAACCCCGGCACAAGCCTGCGCACACATAGTGCACTATGGGGTCAATCTTACCTCGATTTCACCCAAAGGCTTGTTGTGTACATGAAGGCACGCCCTGTTGCCTTAAAAAGCAACAGCTCTAGCCACTTGCAATGTGGTTTAGGAGTAGGAAATGGATAATGGTGTCATCACCAAGGCGTCATCCCCAATTCACACAGTATCCATGCAAACAGATTCAGCATGAAAATAAGTAATATACTACTGCTATAATAGATAACAGATTATTCATATCACAATTATGAAAAAATTGAATGATAATCTGGAGCACTGACTTTTTTTAGGCTGCATGTAGCAACCTACCTAGACTTTTTTTTTTCAAAGCAAAAACGGAACCAGTAACGAGATTTGTCAAACTACTGGATTTGGCATGTAAGTATCACTTTCTGTTCATGCCAGAATCCTCATTTACCTCCACGGACGCAGCTGCACAAGCGATGGGCCTATTTCCGAACCCGCGCACACTACATTTGCCTTACAGGAAAAGAAAGCGCCAGAAAAGGCGTAACGAGTTACCAGTCATGTCAGCTGGTGCCGGCATCTGGCTGCGCTCGAACAGAGTTCACACACGAGCGAGCCTCGACTCGAGTCCCCAATTACAAAACGCGAAACAGGCCGACGCACCGCAAGCGCGTCCCTCACGATTTGGCCACACCGCTGCTGCCCTTCGGGGCGCCCAGCCTAATGCACCGAACAGGGCCGCATTTAGCCTCGCGCACGGCGCCCTGTCTTCGGGGCACTGCACTGCTGCGACCATATTAGCACAAAGACAAACAAGACGAGCGCAGGAGCGGCATCGCCTCAGCGGGCGCCGCAGCTCACGACGGCGGACGAAACACGAGAACACAATCACCCCCCGGCCGATTGTCACCGCCCCGAAACTACTTCAAACTCCGACACGCACGCACAATCACGCCTCCACGCACGCACAAACACACACACAACACAATGCGCGCCCGGTTGGGGGAAGGTCAAGATGGGCTTCTCGCAGCAGGGCTTCCGACCGAGAAGGAAGAACGGCCCTCGCTGTGAACTTGCGATCATGCGAGGCTACGACGACGACGGTCACTTGTTGCGGACGCTAGCGGCCCTCGCTTAATGGCTCTGGAGGCCAACGCTAATTACGGGACTCGTTAGCCGGCCCGTGCGAGACACCCGAGGACCCGTAATGAAGCGGGACGATTCGGCGGGCTCCTTCGATGATGCGGGCCGTTAGGCCTCGGTCGGCCGAAAAGCGTGCCCCGCGAGCGTAGTGCAAACCGGAGGGCGAGGCGGTCACCACGCATCGGCGGCGACGGTTTCCGTACCCCAGCGCTGGAACACCATGCCGACGTCGTCGAAGGTGAACAGGTACACGGGCGGCTCCTCCGTGGCGGCCGGTCGCTGTCCCGGGCAGGCACTCCCCCGAAGAAGAAAATGGATACGAAGTATCCGCAACAAAAAACTCCGCGGCGCGGCGATGGAATGGGCGCGTCGAACGACGCGGAAAGCAGCGGTACGGCGACACGTTGCTACCTCGGGAGCGGTGGGAACTGCGGCGGCGGCCGTGGGACAAACAGCAGCCAAGTCAGCTGCAGTCGGATGACGCTACTCCCTCGAGAAGCGGGCTCTTTCACGCACACACACACACACACAACACACGCCTGGCAGGACGGTTGCCAAGGTCGCCGTGACGGCCCTCGGAGGAGGCCCGTGTCGTCAGCGAGCGGCCAGGCAGGCTGCTTTTCTTCCTCCCTCCTCGCTTCTTGTGAACGGCCCCTTCCCCGCGAAACCTCCCTCCTCGCGGCGGCAGCTGCAGCAGCAACGGCGGCTGCGGAGAACGCACCGGAAGCGGCCCCCAGCAGGCCGCTATGGAAGCCAGCAGAGTCGCATCGTCGCGAAGGGGACCCGCCGTAGGCGCGGACAACGGGTCGACGGTGCACGGCCGAGCAGCTACATTTTCTTGAAGAACGTTCCGAATGTCACTCGTTTTTGTCATGGCGCAGAAAACAACAAACAAGAAAGCATGACAACGCCAGCGCTGCTCGTATCCCTCGCCAGGTGCTGCCATTGCACTACTGTACACAAATATGTATCGATACCACACATTATTATCCCATTATAATTTGTGAAGGAGTCATGATTTCGACAAACGGAGCAGACTCCAGGTTCACGATGAAACTGTTTATTCGGTCGAACTTGTGGCCTGTAAACAGAAAGTCAGATTACAGCAACACACTGCCACTGATAGCGGCGAATAGAGAGCGTCGGCCGTCGATCATCTGACAAGCGATGACGATATATATATCGCTGGTCCTCTGCCACAGTCAGTGCCAGTGAATCGGTTGTTCAAAAAAAGAACTGCAAGACCTACGGGAAAGGCTTTGTCAAATTACACGTAGGCCGACCAAAGGCTCGCAGAAAAAAAAACAGCCAATTTATTAGTTATTCATACGCACAAAGCGATGTTGACGAGTACAATAATCGGTGAAGTACCCCTCAGGGGCGACGTCTGCATATTTCAACTCCCAATTCCACAGCATCCTCATACAAGCCTGCGTTCCCTTTTGTTGCATGTAGTGAGCGCCCGCTCTTCACAGCGAAAACGGATTTTCGCTTCTTAACCTCTACGATTTACCATAGGTATGACAAATAATTTTCTGCTATTTAACTCAATCCGGTATCTTGATTTCTGCTGCCATGTATAATGTGGCAGCAGAAAGCACAAGACTCGCTTGATTGGTGGATCATGGGAGATGCCTTTGCCCTGCAGTGGGAGTAGTCAGATTTATGATGATGTTTTAACTCCCACCCTGTCTTTCTTAATGACGCGACTGACCGCACTCAGTTCAAGTTACATTTACGGGAAGAGAAGTCAAGTTTAACTGCTTGACCACTTGTACAACATCTATACATCCACAGAGATCACTTGAATGTCAACTCGTGGTTCCCCATGAGATGACAGCCGACACACGGTTTTTTTTTTTTTTTTCGTCCAGGCTTGTCCCTTTGGATTTAACTTGCCTGCGTCGTGCAGTTGGAATCTCATTTTTGTTCATAAAGGCGCAAGGCTGGTCAACACGTGGAAATTTGTGCGTAACCTGCAGCGCAATCTTTTTTACAGTGTAACGACGTAGCATTGCACAACTGTCTCGACGGTGCAGAATGATTTTCTTGTACGCCCTTAATAGCACGCCATGTTTGCACTAACATCAAATAGGCAAATCATCAGTTCGTTTTCTAAACAGCGTCATGCTTATGTTCATTCTTTGCGTTGCAAGAAAAAAAATGACAGCATATCCATAGAGTGAATGATGATGAGTGGGGCGAAGCGTCCGTCTGTTAGTCTGTCTGTACGTCCGTCCGCCTGTCCGTTCGCCTGTCCGTCCGTCCATCCGCATCTGCTGGGTGAGTCATCGAACTAGGCGGTCACGAACCACAACGAGCTAGGAGGGACAAACCCATGGCTTAAGGAGCTTCGCTCCCTAAAAGAAGTAAGGACATTCACCGGTACCAAACTCAAACCAGTTGTTTCGCTTTCAAACAGTGCAGCAGCTATCCCGTCGCGAATCGGGAACTGCTCGCATAAATTTACGCGAGCTAACTCCACGAAAGAAAGCGACGGTATCGACTCGCTTTTCCAGCTTTCAGCTTCACAAAACTAAGCACCTCGAAGTTAGGGGCATCGTATATTTTTCTCAAAACGAAAACACGTGGCTAATCCGTGCGCCGGCGCAATCGGTATAAGGCTAAACGACAGCGGCGCCGTAAAGCAGCTGCCTGCAGCACAAAATCGTCGTCGGCCTAACGGAAAGCAATAAAGAGCAACAACAGGCGATGCACTGCAGCGATCTAGCGCAAAGCCGCAAAAAAAAAAAAACGGGGTCGGCTGCCTCGCGCGGCGTCCGCATTTCCACGCTCCCCACAAGCAGCACGCCGAACGTTACTAGCGGCCGCCGCTTCCCCTTGAGCGTATGTTTTGGAGCCGTGCCCTTCTGACGTGAGCGCCCTCCCCACTTTCGCTCTATCTCCTGTTGCTGCTGGCAAACGCTGCATAATCCGCAGAAGGAGAATGTCGCGACGGCATCCGCCCCGCGTACGAGTTTTACATGACGTCCGCTCAGAAGGCCGCTTAGAGACGGGAGGGCCGCCACCGAAACAATGGTCTGCCCAGCCGTTGACCCATTAGCCACAGAATATTCAATATACACGAATCACCGAAGGCGATTCGGTCGTTGTGTACTTCCCAGTGCACTCGGAAGCCTCACGTGCCAGACAGCGCATATATGAAGTTGAGCGTTGAGGGATGAAATGAGCCCACCTTGTTGCTGCCCTTCTGCTGTCAGCTGCTCAACTCCTTGGCGATGAAATCCTTGCAATGGGCGTGTGTCTGGGTTCAACCGGGGGTCTTGCCGTGGCGACGTATTCCATTGCCGGCGGACGTTGAGTTGACGGCCGATGGCAGTTGAAGCGCTTTTTTACTATGAAATGAGCCCACCTTGTTGCTGCCCTTCTGCTGTCAGCTGCTCAACTCCTTGGCGATGAAATCCTTGCAATGGGCGTGTGTCTGGGTTCAACCGGGGGTCTTGCCGTGGCGACGTATCCCATTGCCGGCGGACGTTGAGTTGGCGGCCGATGGCAGTTGAAGCGCTTTTTTACTATGCTGGTCTCGCAGCTCGCATTTGACGGGTCAAAGCGTCCGCTATCCAGCCAGTTAACGGTCGAACACTCGTGAACATTTAAACAAAAGTAACTTTAATTAACAGGAATTGGGGTCACATTTCAACAAACATTCACAAGCACTCAGTAAGTCCCCCGTAAAAAAGCGGTGCTGTTGCTCGGGCAGGTAGGGTGAGTCTGCCCGCCGCCTGGCATTTCTTCTTCCGTCGACGACCGGTGCTTTCACTCTCTCCGTGAGCCGACAGAAAAGATGACAAATGACGCTCTGAAGGTCGTTTGCGGTGCCCGTTTAAAGTGGCCATAACAAAGGGAAAAGGGGT